CTTAGCTCCAGGTAGCCATGCCATAGCTGTCACTGAGGAAACCACAGAGGAAGAGCCAGGTGCCACTTCAGCAGGATCTGCGGTGCCTGGGCAGGGCGGCAGCCTGTGTGTGAAGGACAGGCAGCCAAGCTGTGGGATTCCACTGTGGACAGAAGGGAGGGGCTGGCAGAGGGGTCAGAAGGCCTGTTGCCTCTGGCTTCCAGCTCCTGGCCTTTTCCCGCTGGGCCAGACATAGGAAATGAGATTTTCCCCTTTGTTTATCTTGTTGTTGTGCAGGAAATAATAACACGTTTGTTGTTGAAAAATTAGAAGATGTAGATAAGCAAGTAAAAATAAAAACCAGGCACCCAGATAAACACCATTAGCACTTTGATGTTTATCCTGCCAGCTTTTTTCCATGCAAATATATATTAATAAAAGAAGATGCCTCAGGCCCTCACAGCCCTTATCATGACTAGTTATCTATTACAGTTGTTTCCTCGCTGTCATCTGTGTGCACCACTGGACTGCCAGCTCAGGGCCAGGCCATCTGTATCATGACTGAGGCCCCATGCCTTGGACCAAGCCTGGCACGTAGTAGGTGCTCAGGAAATGTGTGCTGAATGAGGTCACTATGCGTGCTGTTTCTGTTTTGTAATCTTTTTTTAAATTTTTATTCACAATATTGCATGGCCTTTTGTGGAGTTAAGAATTAACTTTACTCATGGAATTTGGCCTTTGTCCCTGTTCCTGGAAGGTAACCTCTAAATCTTTGGAATTTCCTGAGAGATTGGAGTGTCTCTATTTTTCCATCCCTCCTAGTGTGTTTAATTAACCCTATGATTGGCTAAGATGCTTCCAGCTCTTGGGTTTTATGAGCCACAATGAGGTATACTGACCAAGTGTCTCTCTGAAGCTTCTTTGTTGACTTGCCTTCAGGCTGTGTTCTCTCCAGTGGCCAACTCTTATTCATACTTCAAAACCCAGTACGATCCGCTCCCCAACCACCGTCCTTTCTGTGCTCCTTGGCCCTCACCCCAAAGGGCATCAATTCATCAGCCTGGAGTTGTGTGGGTCCTTGGCCTTTTCCACCATTAAACTAAGAGCCCCCTGAGGTCTGAGTTAGCTTCATGAATGTTATGGATTGAATCATGTCCCTCAAAAATGTGTGTCAACTTGGCTAGGCCATGATTCCCAGTATTGTGTGGTTGTCCACCATTTTGTGATCTGATGTGATTATCCTATGTGTTGTGAATCCTAACCTCTATGTTAATGAGGCAGGATTAGAGGCAGTTGTGTTAATGAGGAAGGACTCAATCAACAGGATTATGTTGTATCTTGAGTCAATCTCTTGAGATATAATAGACTCCAGCAGAAAGGGGAAGGACCTCATTACTACCAAGCAAGAAGAGCCAGGAGTGGCACGTGTCCTTTGGACCCGGGGTCTCTTTGCTGAGAAGCTCGTAGACCAGGGGAAGATTAATGACAAGGGCCTTCCCCCAGAGCTGACAGAGAAAGCCTGGAGCTGCTGCCCTGAATTCAGACTTCTAGTCTAAACTGTGAGAGAATAAATTTCTGTTAAAGCCATCCACTTGTGGTATTTCTGTTACAGCAACACTAGGCAACTAAGACAATGAGTAAATGAGTGAGTAAATGAATGAGGGATTGAATGAGTGAATCAGTAAATGAATGATGGGTGAGTGAAAGAATGAATGACTCCATGAGTGAGTGGATAAATGAACCAGTGAGTGACTGAATAAATGAGTGAATCAGTGAGTGATGGAGAAAGGGACCTTGGGGGCTCTTCCCTGGCCCCTACTGGCCTGTCTCAAAGGTGTTCTTGCTCCAAGCAGCTTCGCAGAGTGGCTAGGTTAAGGCTGGGCTCTGCTTGGGTTGAGATCTTGCTTCTGTGACACAGCTCTGTGTCTCCAGGAGACTAACCTCCTCTCTCCAAGCCTCAGTTTCCTCCTCTATAAAATGGGCTTGGTGCTCTGAGTTAGATTTAAAGAGCCAGGAATTCTTGGCCCTCCTCCCTAAAAAGGCAAAGTCTGTTCTCCTCCCTTGAGTCTGGGCAGCCTTAATGACTCCCTAGACCCACAGAAGGTGACGAGGTGACATTCTGGGACTGCCAACACTAGGTCCTCAGAAGCCTTGCAGCTCCAGCCTGGGCCTTTTGGAACACGCTCCCTTGGAGTTGTTTGACCACTGCCTGAAGAGACCACATGGACAGGCCTAATTCCTCACAGGAAAGGCGAGGGCCCAGCTGATCTGTGCCTCTGCCATCCCTGACCAGGACCAAGCATACCAGAGACCCCGGTCCGCACCACGAGGAGCAGAAGAACAACCCAGCTGAGCCTGGCAAAGTCCTGACCCATAAAATCCTAAGAGACAATAAAATAGCTTCAAGCTACCATGCTTTGGGGTCATCTATTTTGCTACAAAGAAAACCAGACCCTCCTCCCAGCCTTTCTTTCAGGTCATGGAGGTGGAGGAGATGTGGCCGGCAAGGACTTTGTGCATCGTCTGCTGACAGCAGTGAGAGGGAGGGAATTGGCCCCTCGGTAACCCCTGCCCCCTATCCCAGCACTCCTGACACCCCAGGGTACTGTTTTTTTGTCTAGGGTGCTCCCATCCCCCGCTGTCTGTCCTAAAGTTGCCTGCAAGGTCAGCTGTGAGCAGAGATACCACAACAGACCCTGCCCCCAACCCACTGCCTCGAGGGTGGCCTCTCACGAGGACACGTGTCAGAGCATGGTGAAGACGGAGGCAGAGATTGAAGTGAACAAGCCAAGGAACACTAAGGATTGCCAGGAGCCACCAGAAGCCAGGAGAGAGGAGTGAGATTCTCCGTCAGAGAATCCAGAGGGAAACGACCCTGCTGACACCTTGATTTTGGTCTTCTGGCCCCGAGAACCGTGAGAGAATAAATTTCTGTTGTTTTAAGCCACCCCATGTGTAGTGATTTGTTATGGTAGCCATGGGAAACTAGTATAGCAGGTTACTTGTCTTTTTAATGCCTCTGTGTTCTCATCTGTAAAATGGACTGTTGTGGGGATTAAGCAACTCAATAGCATGTTAGCATGGGAAGCGTGGGGCCCAGAAAATAACAAATGTCAGTAGACTTCATCGGTGGTGCTGAGACAAGTTCTGGGTGGTGTCCAGTCATGAAGTTGGGCTTGAGGACGTCATCCTCTGGGAAAAGTACCCAAGGGCTGGCTGCCAAGGACCCTGGTGGGGAAGACCCTGAGCTAGAACTACCTCCACCTAGCCCCTCAAAGAGATTTTGTATAATTGCCCCCACAGAGCTCAGCAAGGCCAAGGGACCTCACCCAGGTGCAGGTGGGTGGGTGTCCCAGGGGAGCTGGCCCTTGGAGGGCCTGCACTCTGCAAACCCCAGAGCCTCCCCCAGGCCACAAGTGTGGCTGGTGGGCTGAGGATGTGGACTTGCATATGGCCAGGAGCTGGGCTGAGGTAGGAAGCAGGGGCTGGAAGACCTGGGAGCAGCTCTAGGCAAGTTTCTGCAGAGAGAAGTCAGCACTCCATCAGCTGGTTTCTAAAGTTTTCGGGGCCTGGGCCAACTTCTGTGAGGGGTTGGGGGAAACAGGAACAGTGGGGCCCTCATCCCTCAGAGCTTCCTGACCCACCCCTCGCCTCTTCAGCCGCTGCGCAGGAAGACAGCATGGTCCTACAGTGCAGACCCCTCAGAGAGACTGCTAGGCCTTTCCTTCCTGCAAGCAGGGTCTACAAGCCACACAGCAAAGCAAGGGGGGAGGGGAGCTTTGCCTTCCAGGCCCGTTTGGCGTGTAATCCCACCGTTTGACGACCAGGGGGCGCTGTCCACAGCCTTGGGCCCGTGGGGACCGCTGCTAGCTGGGCCCAGCACCTGTGTTGTGCTTGGCGGCCCTTCTAACTCCAAGATCTTCTCTGGAGTCCTGGTTGTGAGCCTGAGCCTGAGCCTTGGGCGACCTGAGTGTTTAGGGCCTGGTGCACCCTCGGCCTAGTCTCTGCTCGCTTCCTATCTCTTTAACGCTGGGCTGAAGCCCCCTTCCTCACTCCCCAGGGCTTCTGTCTAGGTTTGCGCCCTATTTTTAAGAAATTGGCAAAGAAAATGGGCTGCGAGGTGGTTTCCTCAACACCTCCTCTTCCGTACTGCTTCTGCTGCCACGACTAGGGGTCCAGAAGGGGTGCAGGGCCAAGTGGTGGAGGTAGGTGTGGAAAGTGCCCCTGCCGGGCCTGGTGTTGTCTCCTGGTGCTGTCACCTGCCTGGTGAGGTCACAGTCAGACCCTCAGCCCAGACACCCCCAGGGCAACGAGGGTCTACCCTCACTCTTAGAGTACAAACTTTGTGAAAGTGAGGACCGCCTAACCTGGCCCCATCACCAATCCAGCCTGGTGCCCATTAATGCTTGTTGATTGAGGTGGCACATCACTTATCTGGCAGGGCTCAGAGGTGGAGTCCAAGAGACCCTGGGAGGAGGCTCAAGGATTTGGTGAGAAGCTGGGCTCTGTGGCCCCGTCGCTTCGCATAGGGGCTGTGGAAGGAGGAACTCCCCACTCCCAGGCAGGTGGCAACTCAGAGTCTCCAGCTGTAAGCAGATTATGGCTCCAGGGGCTCTGTGGCAGGTGCACACAGTCGAGGAGGGCGCCAGACCCTGACGCCAAACCTCTAGACCCAGCTCCCGTGTCCAGCACGTGGCCACACCGGGGATTTGAACCCAGGGGACCGTGTGGAGCCTCCTACCTCCCCGGCCGTCCCTCCGGGGACCACTGTCTCTTATGCTCCGCGTCCTCGGCCCCCCACCTCTGCTCCGCCCCCTTCTCTGTCCCCATCCCCGGCGCCCCTCCAGTCCTCGCGCATGGCGGCCGCCGAGCCACGTGTGCCGCGCCCGCGGGCGTGCCTGGAAGCGTGGCCACGCCTGGCCCGGCCACCATTTCCCCGGCGCGGCAGCGCGGACCAGCGGGCAGCGGCCCGTAGAGCGCCGAACGCGACTCCTAGCCAGCCCAGCGCCTAGCCGGCCGGCATGAGCGCGCCCTCGGAGCGCGGGGGGGCCACGGCCCCGGGGGTGGTGCCTGCGCCCTGCGCCTCGAAGGTGGAGCTGCGGCTCAGTTGCCGGCACCTGCTGGACCGCGACCCGCTCACCAAGTCCGATCCCAGCGTGGTGCTGCTTCTGCAGTCGCAGGGCCAGTGGGTGCAGGTAGGGGTGGGCAAGAGGCCCACGGGGTGCAGAGCCTGGATGGGATGCTGGAACTGGGGACACAGGGACCGACGTGGGGCGCTGAGGACTGGGTCCCAAGCAGGGGCGTCCAAGGGCTGCAGCTGAGGTCAGAAGTGCGTCCCCAGGTCTGGAGAGTGAGTGCCGGGCTGTGGGTGGGGCATAGAGGCTGGACTGGAAGGCCAGAGCTGGGAGGGGCTCCGTAGAGAGAGGGGCGCCCAAAGTGCCGGCACCGCCCAGGGTCCGGTGTGGGGCTCCGAGGCCAGGGTGAAACTCCCAGCAGTGAGCGGCGGGCCAGGGCATTGACCCGGCACGGAGCCGAGTCCAGGAACAGAAGTGAAGGGTGGGGCCGAGTGGAGGCGCTGGGGTCGGGCCCTCTGGCGCCAGCGCGGGGCAGACCACGGAGCGCCGCGCTCTCCTGCTGGTCCCCCTTCAGCCCCCGTCAGGAGCAGGAGAACGTGGACGGGCTAAGGAGCTGGGGGCGACCTTCCCGGGGAGGGGCGTTGCCAGGCTCGCTGGCGAGGGCGTGGGCTCCGGGAGCCGGGCTGAGTGTCCCAGTTTCGGGGCTCCTCGGCTGGGGGGCTTCCCCTCTTCTCCTCTTGGAGACTCTAGTGTGGGTCTCCAGCGCCCGAGGTGACCCGGCAGGCGCACTCATGTGAGCAGGGTCGGAGACAGCAGGGACCCAGCGGCTTGAGCGCCCCGCGGACCAGATTCTGGGAGGGCGTGTCTCGGTAACGCCAGCTTCTCCCCTTCACACCCTGGGGTCCCTGCTCGCCGCACTTGTCACCTCCTCAGGATACCACTGGCTGGCCGCTGCAGGGCTGCTCCAGGGAGCGTCCGAGGGGGCTGGTCGGGGAGATAGCTTGGGGCGCTCTGCGCCATACCAAGTGCTTTCATGGTCACAGTGTCGCGTGAGACGTGTGGCTTCACCTCCAAAGGGCGAGAAATACGGGGAGCCTCCTGAGCTGCGGAGGCCACTGGAGGAGGGACACGGTGGGGAGAGGTAAAGCTTTGCGTTGGGGGGGCTCGAACCCGAGGCCGAACCTAGGCGCTAGCGCTTTCCCTGCCATGAGGGAATCCTGCTCTGCTCCAGCGCCCCCACCCTGGGGCAGGTGGCAGCGCGCGGGCCGGTGGGGGCAGCAGGGGGCGCCAAGGTGGGAATGAGACCCTGGCAACGGGGGGGGGAATGACTGGGGTGGGGACAACGTGGGGCAGAGATCCAAGGCGGAGGTGGCAGAGGAGATTCAGGTGGGGGTTGTGATGAGGGCGGCAGGGAGACTGGGATGGGGTCCAGGGTGGGGATGGGGGGACCCCAACAGGGGCAGCAAGACCAAGCGGTGGCGGTACGGTGGGGCTAGGATGCTGGGCTAGCGCCCGCTTCCCTACCACTCTGCTGGCCACTGGCGGTGGCCTTATGCGTGTCTCTGGGCCACCAGCGCCTGGCCTGAGAAACTCTGCAGATAATCAACCCTGAGAGCAAAGGGCCACCACCCAGGGCCCAGGCTCAAAGAAGTGGGCCCTGCACCCCAAACCCCACTATTAGCACCTGGCAGCTTGGAGGAGTGGTGCCAGTGGGGGTTCTTTGTGAGGTTACAGGCACCCTTTTATCAGAACCATAGGGGTGACCTGTGGAAAACCTCCCCAGCTGAGCTGGAGGAGGGAGCTGTGGCCCCCAGAGGCAGGGTTGGCCCTGTGAGCCTAGGGGTCCCCTGTGCCTGGAGGGTCTCTGCCTATCCCCTTCCCTGCCCAGATGGGTGCTGGGGGAAGATCTTGCCTCGAGTTGGCCTGGGATGGAACCTGACTTCCACCCCTGACTTTGGGCGCTGTTGGGCAGGATCCTTCCCCCCAGCCTCAGTTTCCCCATCCAAAACGTGGGGATAAAGCAGGCCATGGAGATGAGAAGATGTAGAGAAGTCACAGCCCATGCAGACCCAGGGGGCCTTTACTGCAGGGAGGGAGATGCCCAGAGTCCTGGAATGACCACATGCCCTGCAGGGGTGGGGGCAGAGCTGGTGGAGAACAGGCCAGGTGGGCTGGGTCTTCCAAGGAGTGGCCTGAGAAAGCACTCATGAAGAAGCAAGGGGATGGCAAGGGCTGAGCTGGGAGGGACTAGGCCTGGAAACCCTCTCCCTTGGGTGGGGACTCCTCCCTGGCTGGGCATCTCACAACCCACTGGTTGCAGGTGGACAGGACCGAGGTGGTCCGGAGCAGCCTGCACCCCGTGTTCTCCAAAGTCTTTACACTCGACTACTATTTCGAGGAGGTGCAGAAGCTACGCTTCGAGGTCTACGACACACACGGGCCTGGCGGTCTCAGCTGTCCGGAGGATGACTTCCTTGGGGGCATGGAGTGCACCTTGGGGCAGGTGGGCACTCGCCTTGGGAGAAGGGGTAGAGGGGCCCAGGGCTGGTCCAGAGAAGCTGGCATGATGGCAGTGGTGACATGGACGACAGTTTATTAAATGCCTACTGTGTGCAGGGTGCCATGAGAATCCCTGCTGTGAGCAGCATCAGCTCTGTCCACCTCCAGAGCTCTTTGTCTTAAAAAATTCCTTATTCATTTTTTTAAATATATGATTTTGAATAGGGTAATACATTCACACAGTTCAGAATTTGAGAAGTATAAAGACATGTTGCCAATCATCACCCTCCTGTACCTGACCGAAGCCATGCACTCCCCCCATGTCACCAGGTTCTTGTGTATCCTTCCCTTCCCAAGATATTTATTCTTATAAAAGTAAATGCAAATATAACTTTTCTCTGTTTTCACAAAAACACAAATCATACCTGTTAATCTTTTACCTGCTTTTCTCACTTACATAAGAAGCCCTTTTCCTCTCAGCCCAGAACAGTATCCTTGCATCGCTGGCTGCAGAGCGGCTGTTCTGTCCTTTATTTACCCAGCTTCCGCCTGCTGGACACTGGGTTTCCAGCCCTTTGCTGGTGTCCTCTTCCCCCATCAGTGTAATTACAGCTTTTGTGAGCCACCAATTAGAGTGTCTTTTTATGTGCCAGGCACTGTGCTAATCTGTTCTAAGGCTGCACTCTTAATCCCATAATTTTCTAAGGGGGGGCTCTGCTCTTTCATCAAGGTCTAATTTACATGCAATAAGATGCACAGACCCCAAGACTGACAAGTGGAGACGAATGAGGACACCTGATCACCCCCCAATCAGAATAGAACATTTCCATCACCCCACTTGGACCCTGCACTGCTCCCTAGCAGACCCCTCCCCAGCAGCTTCATTCTGATTTCTGACTCCATACCCATGAATCACACAGTATGTTCCCATTTGTGCCCGGCCTCTTTTACCCAGCATAATGTCTGTGTGACTCACACTGCTGCTGCCTGCGTTGAGCTGGTTCATGGTAGACCCTTCTGTCTCCCCATTTTACAGACAAGAGGACTGAGATTTAGAAAGCTGTCCTGAACATGAAAGCACTAGAGCAGGGTCTGACCCAGGCCCATGCCTCACACATGCCCTTGTCAGCAAGGAGGGGACAGCAGGGTTCAGAGTAATAGGGAGAACGCCTGCCTCCATTCTCCTCTGCACCCCTCCCCACAAGGACACTCCCAGCCCAGAGCCTGCATACAGGAAGCCTGTGGCCGTCCTGGCCCTTCTGGTGAGCCATGTACTTTGTTGCGAAGTCACTGAGTCCTCCCAACAGCCCCCATTCTGCAGATGAGGAAACGGGGCCCGGAATGCTAAGCAAATCCCACCTACCTGACCACCACCCTGTACTCAGCAGATATTTGCTGCATACAGCCATGTCACTGTGTCAGCTCACCCCAGTGGCGGAGGCAGCCAGCAGGGCCTGGTGAGCAGGAGGGGGCGGCCCAGGCTAGGGGATTGAGGCTTTGTGCGCTGATACGCAGAAAGGACTTCCACCAGTTGTTTCCTGACCGCGGGCAATCTCACCACCACTCTGAGCCTTTTTCCTCATCTGATAAATGGGTGTAATGATGTCTGCCTTCTTGTGGGCGATAGGGGTCCATGAGGTGGCAGAAGTAAGGGCACGTAGAAAAGCAAGAGGTAGCGTCCTCACAGGGACCAGCAGGAAAGGCCAGCTGAGGGCATGGGCCCTGGGTACTGAATTTGAAGGAAGAAGTTCGGGAGCCTGAGGCACGGGGTTGGGGGAACTGCCCAGGGTGAGGGAGGCTGAGGGGGACAGGGAGACTCAGAAGGGTGAGGCTGAGGGGAGGCCAACCCAAGGGCTGAGTCAGAGTCCCAAGGATCAGGGGCCATCCTCCATTCTCAGCCTCTCCTCTCCACCTGTCTCCTGACTTTCAGATTGTGGCCCAGAAGAAGGTGACCCGACTTCTGCTTCTTAAGTCTGGCAGGAACGCTGGCAAGTCCACCATCACGGTGAGGCCAGACGGCCCGGCTCCCAGCCACTGCCTCCCCGTAGGCCCTGAGGCCCTTAGGCTCTGCCCCTCCCTGTCCTGCTTTCTCTCTCTGGGCCACACTACGGCTCTGAGGGTCTTTTCATCCAGGACTTGGGGAGGGGTCCTCAGCCCTCCTCTCAGGTTGGGCAGCAGCCCAGGGATGGGTTTTCTAGGCCTTTGTCCCACTTAGCTCCGGATGGGGGAGAGTTCGGGGGTGGGAGAGTAGGGTCAGCAGCTTGGAGCCAGGGTCCCCATCAGTGCAGTAAGATGTGCCTTGCTCCTCCCAGGTGATAGCAGAGGACATCTCAGGGAATGATGGCTACGTGGAGCTGTCCTTCCGGGCCGAGAAGCTGGACGACAAGGTGAGCAGGGCAGACCTGTGCCCTAGTGCCAAGTCTGGGAGCACTCGGTGAGAGCAGACACTTCCCTACTTTGGCCTCAGTGTCAGTTTCTTCATCTGTAAAATGGGCATAGAACAGGACTGTCCTGGAAGGTGTCAGGAGAAATGGATGACTTGGTGCAGATGAAGCAGAGTAGTGGGTAGAGCCTACCAGGTGTGCCTGAGTGCTGCTGCTTTGGTCATTGTTACTGCTATTGTTACTGGTAGTGCTGGTGTTACTGTTATTAGCAGGGACGGATTACCTGTGCTTACTTACTAATTTAGTGCACAATTTCACATGGGTTTCATCAAAGATGTGGTGAAACCCATGTGAAGTTGTTCACTGCAGATTAGTAAGTAAACACAATTAAGCCCATGCATAACTTGCTTACTGTAAACCCATGCATACTTGCTTATTGGTTAATCTGCCTTGGTTATTAGCCACATTTCTGCATCCTGTCTTGGTGCTGGTATGGAGCTAAGCCGAATTTCCCTGCATTATCTCATTTATCCTCAGCTCCCTATGAGTTAGGGATGCTCATGATCTGCATTTAGTGATGGGAACAGGTTCAGGGAGATCCCTGAGGCCACCATCTAGAAGGAGAATGGCTGGGCACAGAGCGGGGGTCTGATAGGTGTAGGGAGTCAGGAAAGGCCTCCCCAGAACTAGGTGTTTGAGCAGAGATCTGAGGTTGGGGTGGGGTGGTCTGAGTGGCAGAGACAGCATGTCAGACCTGGGCAGGCTGCGGAAGCTGGAGGGGGTGTGAAGATGTGGTAGGGGCTAGGATTTTCAGGGCCTGGGAGTCAGTGGAGGCTCTAGAGGGGGAACAGCAAGACCTCCCAGCTGCTCTGCTGAGCTCAGGGAGGACTGGCCGCCTTATCTTACATCTGAGGAAAGCTAGGCTCTGTGGGGTGAGGCGGAGTCAGCCTGAGCCCCACACCCCTCTCACTGCCTCCCGCACCTCTGTGGCCTCTGCCAGGATCTGTTCAGCAAGTCAGACCCCTTCCTGGAGCTGTACCGGGTCAACGACGACTGGAGTGAGCAGCTGGTGTACAGGACCGAGGTGAGAGCCCTGCCCAGCGCCCTGCCCAGCCAGCAGGCTCCCTCAGGGCCAACCCCAGACCCCTGAGCTGAGGCAGGGACAGAGAAAGAAATGACAGGAGGGAGTCAACCCTGTCATTCTCCTGCCCCTCCTGGCTGAGGCAGGAGAGCCCACCCTCTAACAGCTGTGAGGGTCTTTACCTCCAGCACCTACTATCTCCTTTCCAGATGTGGGTGTGTCTGTTGCTAGAATTCAACAACGTTGTTTTGTTGTCACTGTGATTATTTTTAGGGCTACCTTGTACTTCCTGCAGGTGAGATGGGGTGTCATTTTCAGCAATGTATGTGTTTCCTTTTGAGATAAATTATTTTGAGTTTAAAAAAGAGTCTATTTAAAGAAAAAAGGTGTCCAGGTGGCCCAGGAATATGGCGGAAGTTAGGAAGGTGGTTCCCAAAGGAGTGAGGTTTGGGAACACGGCTCTGGGGGCGGAAGGCCCAGTCCTGTGCCCATGGTTAAAGGATGTTCCAGTATTTGGTCTCCCTGTCACCTGAGGCTCTGGCCTGGGCCCCTCTGGGCTCCACTGGACTCTAGGGGCCTTCCTGGGGCCCCCACCTGAACCTGGCCTCACAGGTGGTGAAGAACAACCTCAGTCCCGTATGGAAGCCCTTCAAGGTGTCTCTGAACTCCTTGTGCAGCTGTGAGGAGACAAGGCCCTTGAAGGTGATCCAGGTGGGGAGGGGGGGACTGGGGGACTGGGTGGGGGCAGGGCTGTGGGGCTGGGATAAGGGGCCAGGCTGGGAGACCAGGCAGGGGGTACCGGGAGCCAGTCACCCTCAGACCACACTCACCCTTAGAAATGGGATTCTTGGGAAGGAGATGGATCAGTTGGGGAAAGGGGATGCCATCAGGCAGTATGGGGTCCCGGCTGCAGGCCGGGGTCTTCATGGGCCCCAGAGGAGCAGGTGGGCTGAGGAAGGCCTGGGTTTCCCAGTGCCTCGTCTGGGATTATGACTCCCGAGGGAAGCACGACTTCATCGGCGAGTTCTCCACCACCTTCCAGGAGATGCAGCAGGCCTTCGGGGAGGGCCAGGTGAGCAGGCCTGGGGCACCTCCCTCCATCCCTCCCTCCCTTGCCCTTGTCTGGGGAAGAGCCAGCTCTCAGCACCCCTGAGCCTAGGTTGTTGCTGAAAACTCAACTCGTACTGACTGTCCATGGTGGGGTATCTGGGACAGGGAGGATAAGGTGCCTGTGAGTGGCCTGGGCTACCTGGCTCACTCAATTATTATTCTAATCCAGAGAGGAAAGACTAATGATGATGATGATGATAAAAAAATAATGCTAACGGCTACCATCAGGGCAGGGGCAGTGGGGATGGTTACTGCATATTACAGCTGGAGAAACCTGGCAAAGATTGAAGCCCTGTCCCTCCCTCAAGGCACAGTGGAACTGTGTGAATGCCAAGTACAAACAGAAGAAGCGCAACTACAAGAACTCAGGGGTGGTTATCCTGTCCCACCTGAAGGTAAGACAGGGCCTGGGGGAGGCTGGACCCGAGTCCCCCGCTCATAGCCCCTTCCCCACCAGGGCGGGTGCTCTGCGGTCTGCGCTTGTTGGATTTATTCTCAATGACCACCATCCGGGAGATTTGGTTGTCCTCAATATGTGGAGGTGGAGGGAGACAGAAAAGGATGCGAGAAAGAAAGAAAGGGAGAGGCAGGAGGATGGAGGGGAGAGAGGGGGAGATAGAGCAAGAGATAAGAAAGAGGGATAGAGAAAGAGAGATGGGAGGAGGGAAAGACCAACAAGAGACTTAGAGGAAGGAGGAAGAGGGGTGGGGCTCAAGGGAGAGAAGGGGCTGAAAGCCTGTGGAGGAGACAAGGAGGAGGGGCGAGACATCTCACCAAGGCTGCCTCACCCCACTTGCTGGGAGGGAGGGTGCAGGTCCCCGGTCCTGAGTTTCCCCAGCTTGGAGGACCAGGTGAGCCCTGCTGATGCCGCTGCCTGGAAGTTCCACAGGGTCTACTCCTTCCTGGACTACATCATGGGTGGCTGCCAGATCCACTTCACTGTGAGTTCCCCTCCCTGCACTTCCATGCTGGTCCCCTACCTCTGTGCCACCCTTTGGGGTCCTCTGTGCCCTCACACTAGAACACCCCCCCACGAAGCCTCAAGGAGCCAACCTCGGGGTGGACACCCTGAACAGTACCCAGGTCTGCCTCTCTGGGGTCCACCCTTTCCCCTGCCCCACCTGACGTGCCTGGAGCGAGAGCTGAATCAGATCCAAGTCTTGGCCCCCCAGTTGAGGGTGAGGCAGCACTTCCTGAACATGACATTATGCTCTAGTCCTTCCCCCATGTGCAGGGTCCCTCCCACAGTCCTGGCCCTGGAGCCAGCATCCTCTACATGTCCTCTTAGTGGGTCTAGGCAGGCCCCCCTGCAGGAGAGGGGCCCTAATGGTCCCAGGAGGTGGTGAGGGCTCAGGGTGATGATGCCCTGGCAGGGCACTGGCTGATGCATCCTCGGAGACAACTCCTTCCAGAAACCCCAGGAGATTTGTGGTTGGTGGGGTCTAGGGGTTCCCTCTGTTCCCTGTGGACCCGTGACGTGAGGTCCCTGGGGCAGGCAGGCCTGCAGGGATGGACATGAAGGGAGGCCAGGTCTGCAAGGAGGAGCCTGTGGGCAGCAGCCCTGCCCATGTGGCCCTGGCCACCTTGGGTCAGCACCTCAGCTCTGAGATGGCTGTTCCTCTCCAAATCACCTTGGCTCCACCCTAGACGGCCGCTTGGGCTCTCTGTCCATGGGCGGCTCCTGTGATGTCCTCTCAGGACCCTGGGACCACTCTTGGCTGCATCCCCCTTGCCGAGCACCCCCCAAGCCTCAGCTTCCCTTACCTGTCAAATGGGGGAGGTATTCCCTACTGTCTATTGGGGTAGACTGAGGAGGCAGCAGATTAGCCACCTGGCAAGGGGCAGGTAGTAGTTGCCGCACGCGTGTGAGGGTGTGCTCATGGCCTGGGCCTCGCAGGTGGCCATTGACTTCACGACCTCCAACGGCGACCCCCGGAACAGCTGCTCACTGCACTACATCAACCCCTACCAGCCCAACGAGTACCTGCGGGCCCTGGTGGCCGTGGGCGAGATTTGTCAGGACTACGACAGGTGTGGACCCAAGCCTGTGTCCCCTCCCCTCCCCTCCCTTCCTAGCCCTACACCCATGGCCAGTTTCTTTCCTGCTCTGTGCCTCAGTTTCCCCTCTGTGCCTGGCAGTTATCAGCCCTCTCAGAGATGTCGTGAGATTTCATGGGCTACAGACGTTATTGTGATTCGTGGGGCCAGAGGTGGGGGGAACATAGCTTCCTGGTCCCTGTGTTCCTGGCAGGGTCTACCAGGGGAAGACAGGGCTCCCAGTGTGACTGGGCCTCCTTCTCTTCTAGTGACAAGAGGTTTTCTGCTTTGGGGTTTGGAGCCCGAATCCCTCCCAAGTATGAGGTAGGAGAGCCTGAGACCATTTTTGCTTTGTGCCTGTCCCTGGCAGAGGGGATCCTGGATCCCTGGGACCCCCTGGCTGCTGCCACCCTGACTATGTGATGGGGGAGGGAAGGAGGAACAGAGGCTGGCTTTTCGACCAGGGAGGATTAGATCGTCTGGGACTTGTCATGAGGGAGTCTGGAGACTGGCTCCTGTTCCTGCTGGGATAAAGGGCATGACATTAGTCTGGCATCTTTTGTTGCAAATAATTGCTCACGTGGATTATGCAGAAAAAATGATGGGAGGGGGAGGGGGTTTATTGACTAATGCAATGAAAAGCTTCAGGTACAGCTGGATCCAGGTCTCGGTTTGCTTTCCTCCTGCTTGGCTACTTCTCCAGCTTCAGGTCTGGTGGCCACAGAGTCTTCAGCCCTGAGAGAGTCAACAGAAGTTCCAGGACGGAATTTCCCTGGCCAATCTCCTTGGGTCCTGGGACTGGAGTTGGGGTTGGGGTGGTTCCCCATAGGAAACTTGGGGTGCTAGCCATGGCAGGCGGTGAGAAGGACCCTGCAGGGCTGAGGGCTTTTCCTGAGGGTCCTGGAGAACAGAGCCAGGAAGCCAAGGAATGAAGAGACTCTCTTGGCTCCCCCAGCCCACTGGGTCAGGGTCCAGGACACTGGCCATAGGGCACAGAGGGGGCCTCAGGGGGCTCAGCGTTAGTGCTGGTGCTGGATACGGGAGCAGCTGGCCAGCCTCTCTTGTCCTGCAGGTGTCCCATGACTTTGCCATCAACTTCAACCCTGACGATGACGAATGTGAAGGTAGGAGCCCAAGGAGAGTTGGGGACTGGAGGGTGCAGTGGGGCTGCACTCACCTGCCACCCCCACAGGCATCCAGGGTGTAGTGGAGTCCTACCAGAACTGCCTGCCCAAGGTCCAGCTCTATGGCCCCACCAACGTGGCACCCATCATCAACAAGGTGGCCCACACTGCCGCTGCCGAGGAGCGCACTGGGGAGGCCTCCGTAGGTTCTGGGGCCAGTGGGCATGAGGGGCGTGCTAAGGGGCTGAGGGGGTAGAGATTACGGCAGGGCTGGGCATGCACTGGGTTGGGGGGGCAGGGAGCAGAGGTCACATCAGGGCTGGGCGTTCTCTGGTCTGGAGGGAGCTGGGGGGTCAGAGGTCATTGAGTGCTGGGCAACACACCCCTGAGGGCTGTGTTGATACCCATTTGCCCCTGCCCAGGAGACTTTTGGGGTCAGCCTCTTCCCTCTCTCCCTTTCTCTTCTCTCCATCCTTTCTTCTTTTCTCCCTTCTTCCCTCCTTCCTTCCTTTCTCCATTCAACAAATATTTACTAAGCACCTACTGGGTACTGGTCATGGTTCTGAAAGATGGGAAAAGCCGTGAACAAAACAAGCTCCCTGCCCTCAAAGGCTGACCCAGGGACCAACAAGAGACACAAAGATATGGAAATTACTGGTACATGAGGAGGCACCTGGTGCCATGGGGGAAATGGGCAGGATAGTGGGTCAGCTGTGTGGGAGGCAGGCTTTGAGGTCAGGGAGAGCTGAGCAGTTATCTGGGGGATCCGGGCAGAAGGGCCAGCATGTGCAAAGGCCCTGGGCCAGGAAGGAGGAGGTCAGTGTGGCTGGAACAGAGTGAGTGAGGGAGAGAGTGGGAGGAGACAAGGATAGGAAGAGAGGGCCCTGCTTGTCAGTGATGTCTCCCTCAAAGCCGGGTCTGTTGGTTTATTTTTAATCTCAGGGCAGAGGGTTGAATTAATTAGTGACCTTGCCAGGTGGTGGCCCCCACAGTTCCAGCAAGACCCTCTGTTAGATGATTTACCAGTAGACTCTCAATTCTCCATGCACCTTCCACACCACCCAAGGGAAGACTTCTGTCCATTGATTGTACACTCAGAGGGGCAGATTACCCAGTAAGCACAGGTAAGCACAGGCTTACTTGTGCTTGCTTATTAATCTGTAGTGAACAATTTCACATCGGTTTCACCACAGATGTTCACTCAGATTAGTAAGAAATCACAAGTAAGCCCGTGCTTACATTGCTTACTGAGTCCTCCATCCCTGTCAGGGATTGTAAATTTGAAGAGGCTTTGATTCTGTAGGAAGGTGCTGTGGGGTTGGGAGAGAGACAGATGCCAGCCATACGTAGAAGCAGAATCTTTGGTGTGGTGAAAAACTGTGAAATTGTTCACTACAGATGATCTGGTAAGCAAGGTAAGCACGGTGCTTACCTTGCGTATTGGATAATCCATCCCTGTGCACACACTGTTATTTTTACTTTTCACAAACAGCATTGTGCTCAAGATTGCATTCTGCTTCACCGTTCTTACTCAGCCCTGTGCTCTGAGCACCTCTTTGTGCATCTGTACACTGATAGTCTGCTGCTTTCTTTCACCTTTCTGTTTTGGAAAAAACATCAAATTTATAGAACAGTGATAAGAATAGTGCAGTGATGTCCAGCATACCCTTCCCTTCCCACACACATGTATATCATTATTGTCTTTTTTTCTGAACCATTTGAGAGCAGGTTGCTTACTTCATGATGCTTCCCCCTTGAATTCTCCGCATTGATCTTTTAATAGCAAGGACACGCTTTTACCCGACCACAGTTCAGCTTTCAAACCTAGGGTAGCGAGCACAATGCTCTCCTGTTGTCTGATGTCCCTGTATGTCCACCACTCACCACTCTTCCCAATGTCCCCATTTGTTGCAGTTTTCCTGGTCCAGGACTCATCCAGGGTTTGGCTGCCATGACCCTTCAGTCCCCGTAACCTGGCTGCTCCTTAGCCAGCCTTGGTCCTCCCTGACCTGCTATGGTTGGGCTCTGGCTGCTCATGGCCCCTGGGCCTGACTGTCTAGCACCCCATGGGGTGCTGCCCCACCCTCCTCGCCCCCCAGGCACCGAGCTCCCAGAGCCCAGCTGTGGGAGGTGGGGGTTGGGCAGAGTCAGGCAGGCCAGAGATCCAGTCCCAGACTCGGGCACAGCTCCCCAGCTGCTCCTGATTTGGGGGCCTCATCCGCACCAGCTTAGATCCCAGGGAGGGCAGGGGAAGCTGGGAATTCCAGATGCTGGAGCCAGGCATCACCCTCACTGGCTGCAGCTGCTCTCAATTCTGTGCACCCATGGACGACTGTCCACTGCTCTCCCTGTGCCCCCAGAGAGTTCCCCCGGAGTCTGAGGACAGGCATCAGCGTGTGACCACCCACTGCTCTCTTTGTGCCCCCCAGCAATACTACATCCTGCTCATCCTGACGGATGGTGTGGTCACCGACATGGCGGACACGCGAGAGGCCATTGTGCACGCCTCCCACCTGCCCATGTCCATCATCATTGTGGGCGTGGGCAACGCCGACTTCACGGACATGCAGATCCTGGATGGGGACGACGGTGTCCTGCGCTCCCCCCGTGGCGAGCCTGCTCTCCGCGACATTGTGCAGTTCGTGCCCTTCCGAGAACTCAAGAACGTGAGTGATTGGGTGTGGCTGGCAGCCAAATGCCAAAGCCACTGTGGGGTGGGCCCGGGGAAGGTACCCACCCCCCATGCAACCTTGGCAGCTCACAGTCCAGTGGATCCCGGGTCTGGCTCCCTCCCCCTAGAGATCAGCACCTGTAGCAGCAGCTCTCAGGGCCAAAAAACCTTTCTATTATGAAAAATATCAAGTGTACACAAAAGGTAGAGAACAGTGTAATGGGCCCCCATGAGCTCACCACGAAGCTTTTCTCAGTGGCTTTCACACGTCACACTGACACACATGCACACAAAGTTCTAGGCGGTCGCATGATGTTGGGCCACTTCCTGCCTTGGCCACTCTCCCTGTCTGTGCCCAGAGAGCAGGAAAATACCTTCCCAGAGAGGTGGACAGGATTACATGAGCACAAATGACACCTACGACAGTGCCCTGCCTATTAAATTTCACAAACATTGACTACCACAGGCCTTGCAGTCTCATATTTTTGGGTCTATATCCTTCAAAGTCCTGGAGACAATCCACTAAAAAGACTCCATGACACTCATGGGTGGAGACCACAGCGTGAAAGTCCTGTTCCTAGGGGACAAGGCCTAGGGAGGGGTGACTGGGCTTGGGGAGGGCAGGGAAGGCCCCCAGCTTTGGTCATGTCCCTACCTGCAGGCATCCCCCTCAGCACTGGCCAAGTGTGTGCTGGCTGAGGTGCCCAAGCAGGTGGTGGAGTACTACAGCCATAAGGAGCTGCCGCCGCGAGGCTTCAACACCCCTTCCCAGGAGGCCAGCTCGGGCTTGGCCCCGTGAGGGCACCTGGAGGGGGACCGATAAGGGGCGGCAAGGAGTGTGTCCATGCAGTCTCTGTCCCCAGCACTCTCAGGGTCCCTTCAGCCCCCTGAGACTCCCCAGAGGCCTTGTGCCCCCCAGGCCAGGCCTCACACCTCGTCCCCCTGTGATCCTGTGGCCTGGGTCAGCATTCAAGCCCTGAGGCCGATGGATGGACAAATCCGGACTCCGACTGACCGTGGGGAGCCCTGGGCAGTAGCCACTGAGTGGTGGGGGCTGGCAGCATCCCCGTGCCTGACCCAGCCCCAACTCCTGTGGGGAAGGGGTCCTGAGAGCAGGAGGCCTGAGCAGATCCATGGGCGGAGGGGGGTGCTTGTTCTTACCTAAAGGGGAAGGATGTGCATTGGGGCTCTCTGCATCTGATATTTGTGGGGAAGTAACCAGCCAGGCCAGCTTCCCAGTCTTGAGAAAGCCCAAGATGCCCCTTGGACCCTTTGCCCAGCTGGCGCACCCCTCCCCCACCCCCTCCTGTGCTCTTTGCTTTGGGGGACTGTGGGGAGGGGATTCAGGCATAATAAAGTGTTGTCTTCTCCTGGCAGCAGTCTGTGCCTTTCCTGAGCCCCCTTGTCTCTCCTTCCCCATGGCCCCCACTACACACACAGTGGAGGACTGGGTGCCTCACATGGGTGAGGTGGCCAGTCTGCCTACTCCAGCCCCCAGTCTTGGAGCAGGACTGTTATCATCTCAGGCACACGGAGGACTGAGGAAGGACCCCCAGGATTGTGTGGGTAGCTGGGAAGCAGAGGTACTGTGGCCGCAAAGGCAGCCCCCAACCCACAGGAGGCCCAGGGCCCAAACCCTCCCAGTAAGTTTGTGTGGTGAGTTTGAGACTGCAGGGCAGGTTCAGTGAGCCATGGCCTTGGTGGTGGGCTCAGCCCCCTCACTTTTCTCCCTCCCACTCTGCGCACGTGGGGGCTGCAGCCACAGGAACGGGGCAAGGGCCTCTGAGCCTCCTCCTCCGAGTGGGCTTTTGTGACAGTGTTCCCCTCAAGGAATCCATGCAGGCCAAGGTGTCATAAATGGCTACTTTGATTTAATTTGATAATTATTATCGAATAATTATTAATAATTTAACAAATGGCCACGTAGAGTTGTGCTGGCTCTCTGGGTCCTGGGCAGCCTGAGAGAGGGCTCGGAAGACCCCAGACCAAGCGCTGTCTTTCCTGGGACCCTGTCCTGCCCCCCCTGCCCCTGACCTCTCTTTCCTCCCAACTGTCACTATCACTGGTGGGTGAGTGGTCTCCCATCTACCAGAGCTGTGGACAGTGGAGTCTCAGCCCTTTGGGGGAGGGTTTCAGACGGAAATTTTTCCTGAATTTTCTTGCCTCGGAAACAAATGGTCCCAACCCTGAATTCAGGCCCATCCATCCAAATCCATCCATCTATCCATCCACTCCAGGGCCTATTTTTAGCTCCTGATTCATCTGTTAAGCAGGGATAATAGGCATCTCCATGGTAACCTGGCTATGGGTGCCTTCCAGGAGGGCTGATGTTGGCGAGGTTGGTCTCTTTGAGGATGGAGGGGACAGCAGAAACACTCCTCTGAGCACACCTAGGGGCAGTAGGGTAGGGGGGTGTCATGAGTCCTGAGATGGGAGGGTGAGTATCTGCCTCGTACTGACCTAGGCCCTGCACGGGCCTATGGACTGCACAGCCTGGCATCAACAGCAGAAATGCTGGTTGGTGCCTGGCTCTGCTGGGTGAAGCCAGAGGTGCTGGTCAGCTCCCAGCGGGACACAGACAGCACAGAGGGGCCGACTAGGAAGAACAGGGCAAGGGTCTGTGGACAACACTGATGAGCCCAGGGAACAGCCTCATGGGAAGCTGCTGCATCCCTCAGCCAGCCAGGCCAGTGCTCAACCTGGTGGGCTGGGCCGGGGAGAGGGTCCCTTCCAGGAGCTGCTGCTTAGGAAGGTACCACTCACAGACCTCGCCCCTCCCCGCCCCTCCCACCCCAAGCAGGCAGGAAGCAGGGCGTAAATGCCCCACCTCTTTCTTCCTGCCCTCTGTCTCCTTCTGGGGCCACCATTGACTGTGGTCACCAGGAAGCAGAGAACAAGGAGGCTGGGAGGGGGGTCCAGAGAGGATGGCTCAAGGCAGAGCAGGAATCCAGGAGGGGACCTAGGACAGAGTGACCAGAAGTTCTGAGAGCTGGTGCGGAGACCTGTGGGTGAGTTAAATGCATCCCCCAGTTCTTCAGTGCCTCCCAGCCGTGAGTAGAGGCCCTACACTTTCTCATAATAGCTTGGATGTGGATTTTCTAAAGGAGCAGAGCCAGAATGTGTAAACACTGAGAATCCCCACAGCTGGAACCACCTCGAGCACACCTCGGAAACGCCCTGTGGCACCTTGCCTGGAATATCCCTTGTAAGAGGGTGGATTTGAGATTGGAAAAGGGCCCAAAGGCTCTTGGGTGGTAGGTGGCTTCAGCACTACCCCAGAGTCAGGCTGGACACCTGGTCTATTCCTCCTCCCACTGAGAAGTGGGGTCCCTGTGACCTCCCCTGAGTCTGAACAGAGGTGTCATGCCATGTGACTCCAAGGCTAGGTCATAAAATGCCAGGCACCCCTGCCTGGCTCGCTGAGACGCTTGCTGTTGGGACCTAGCCACCATGCCGTGAGGAAGCCCAAGCAGCCTGGAGAGGAATTGAGGCCAAGCCCAGCTGAGCTCCTAGCCAACGGCAGCCTCAGCTGGCCTCATGTGGGTGTGCCACTGTGAGATCGGCTCTCCTAGCCCTGGCTACCATCATGATGGCAACCTCATGAGAGACCTTGCCCCAGAACCAAGTACTCTCCTGAGCTCCTGACCCACAGAAACTGTATAAGCCAATCAGTGCTTTTTTTTTTTTTTAATTGACTGAAGTTTATTGATTGAACTAATGTTTTGTTGTAATTTGTTACACAGAAGTTGATCACAAATACACCCCTTCACAGGGATCTCGTAAGGATTGGATGGATGATGCACAAGGCATGAGACACCTGTGTGGTCACTCAATCTTAGCTCCACAAGGGTGCCTCGCTTCTTTCGATCCTTCTGAGGGACAACGTTGCCAAAGCACTATCCTTTTATTTTAAATGTGCCCCCTGCCCCATGACCACCTGCTGCCCCTGCAGGCCTCACCTGCCCTGCCTCCATCCGCTGGGATGTGACCGGCTGGGCTCCGGCTTGGCAGTGGGCTGGATCAAGAGCGGGAACAGGAGCAGGCTGGCTTCAAGGCTGTTCTTTCTTCTGCTGCTGAGAGGAAGCGCAGGCAGGAAATTGTGACTAAGTGCATGTAATTGGTGCAGGGGCGGCATAGTGCTGTCAGACAGGAGATCAACGCGCCCTTGGCACAGGGGGTGCTGCGGGAGAAAGCTGTCTACCTCACCCACACTGCCCCTCCACTTCACCTGCCCTGGTTCCCCTCCCCAAGCGGAAGTCATGCCAACACACACAGCCACACACACACATGCACACCCACACGCACGCACGCACACACACACACACACACACACACACACACACACACACACGCAGAACCCAAGCCCAGCATGACACGAGCCACCCCCCTACCCAAGATCCATACAGAAGCCACACTGAGCTCATGTGGAGTATTTCTTGTGTTCTGGCACCTGCCAAGTTTGGCCCAAACATCGCTGCACTGAATTCTCACAACAGCCCCATGTGGCTGGCCTGGGTGTGAGCCGCATTTCTCATAGAAAATAAGCCACTTGGCCCAGGACACACAGCTGGGAGGGATGGAGTAGGGCCATGAGCTGGGTCTGGCACTTGTGTGTGGTCCCGGGACTCAAAGCCTGAGCCAGTAGTCTTTGGCTGTGCACATGTGTGTGTGTGTGTGTGTGTGTGTGTGTGTGTGTGTGTGTGGTAGTGTGTGTATCAATGTGTATCTGTGTGCACACATGTATGTGGTGGTGTGTGTACATGTGTGCACACATGTGTGAGAGTGTTTGTGTGTGTCAGGAGGGATTTGAGGTCCCTTGGCTCCTCTATTGAAAGCCTGTCTGAAAACTCCCCAGCCATGCACAGGGCTGGGCCACAGTCTCCTCCCTTTGTGGGGCCCTGGGCAGCTGTTCCCTTGCCACACGGGTGAAGCCGGCTCTTAAGCTGGGCGTGTGGGGCTTGCCTTGGGTGACCATGACCACCAGAAGGTTCTGTGTCTCAGCCATAAATGGAATGTAGGCACAGAGCGTTGATGGGGTGGGAGTTGGCCCCAGACTGCTGCCCCCACCAGTGAGTTCCCTCTCCTCTTAGGTGGCTTAGCTCGGCCGCTGTGGTTTGGGGGCCACTACAAGAGGGCCCCATTCCTCTCTCACCTGAGACACAGAGGGAAGGGCGGCCTCCCTCTACAGGTGGTCGGGGCATTGCCTGTGTTAGTTTCTGAGGGCTCAGCTGGAGTGCTTCACATGGGAGCCCTCATCCTGCCAGCAGCCTGGTGTCCATGTTTGCCAGGCACTGCCCCGAGTCTGGGCTGTCACTACCACCACTACCCACAGAGCCTCTGCAGGACCCACAGGGGGACAGGCAAAGCTGGGTGGCTGGGTGGCTGGGTGGCTGGGCAGCCAGGCTAGGGGCCAGTGGGGTAGGGGAGGCGCAGGCAGAGGTCCCTAGAACTTGGGAGCAGGGACTCAATCAATCCATTTATGGCTTCTGCTCTTCTCACCCAGGGGGCCTAAAAATACCCCCACTGAATTCCCAGCCAAGTGGCTGGGCCTGACATCCATGGCTGACCTAGGATGCCCACCCAGATTACCCCCTATAGGTACCAGCACCCAGGGGAAGGCAAAGGCCCTAGACATGGACAGTAGGCACCCATCGCCAGCCCTGAGCCCAGAACGTATATACTCAGCAGCTGGCAGCAGCTTGTGGGGCTGGGGAGGCAGAGAAGAATGGAGTAAACAGGATGTTGACTCACCAGGAAAAAGAAAATGTGATTTTTCTGGCACTGCCCAGGAGCAGGGCC